TGTATCTTCAAGCAGCATCCACTTGTATATGAGGGCTTCCAATTTGTTTCTCTTTATGGCTGAGTAATACTCCATATATAAAAACACCACATCTTTTCCACCCTTCCCTCAGGTGGTGGGCATTTTTGCTTATTTCCAAGATTTAACTATCACAAATTGTGCTGCTATAAACAAAGGTGCACATAGATCAGTATGATATGATATCTCCATTTCTTTTGGGAAAATTCCCAGAAGGGATTTCTAGATTGAGTGGAATTTATAGTCTTGGTGTTGTGAGGAGTCTCCACAGTGATTACCATAATGGTTGCACCAGTCTACATTCCACCAACAATGAAGAGGGCTTCTGTTTTCCCATGCAGACTCTAAAACAGTTGTTGTTGATTGATTTCTTTATGATAGTCATTCTTTCTGGGATGAGATGCTGTCCTACTGTTATTTTAATCTGCATTTTACAGAAGGGTAGTGATGCAGAGCATTTTTTTTTTTTTAGTATTTATTAGCTTCTTGTATTTCTTCCTCTGAGAAGAACATGTTCATCCAGGATGCCCATTTCTGGATTGGGTCTTTAAATTTTGAGGTCATAATGTTTTTTAGTTCTTTCTAAATTCTAGAGAGAAGACGTTTGTCTTAGTGCTTAATTGTTAAAATTCTTTCCAAACTTGTGGGTTGTCTTTTCACTCTGCTGGTAATTTATTTTGATGTGCAAAAACATCTCAAAAAGAGGAGGCCCCAGCTTTTTATTCTTTCAAGTATTACCTGTGAAGTTTGATTTTTGTTCATGAACTCTTTGCCTATCCCTTTGTCTTCAAGATTCCTACCTACTTTCTCTTCCAGGAGATTTAGTGTTTCTGTTTTAATATTTACATTGTCAATCCATTTTGACTTTAGCTTAGTGCATGGTGATAGACCTGGGTCAAGTTTTAGTTTTTGGCATGTAGAGAGCCAGTTTATCCTGCACCATTTGTTAAAGAGGCTATCTTTCTTCCAGTAAGCATGTTTGGATCCTTTCTGAAAGATATGGTGGTTGAATGTGTTTGTAGTGGCTTCTGCACCTTATGATCTATTCCGGTGATTATCAGGTTTATTTTTTGCTGATACCATGCTGATTTTAATCACAATAGCTATGTAGAATAATTTCAAGTCAAGGATTGTAATGTCTCACGCTTTGTCTTTTTTCCCCATGATTGCCTTTGCTATTCTAGGTCTTTTCTGGTTTGAAATATATTTTAGGAATGATTTCTCTAGGTCTGTGAGGTGTGTTGGTGATATTTTGATAGGAATTCCATTATATCTTTATTACAATTTTGGTAATATGGCCATCTTCATAATGTTGATTCTTCCTATCAAGGAGCAGGGAATATCTTTCCATTTTCTGAAATCTTCTATGATCTCTTTTTCCAGAGAACTGTAATTTTCTTTGAATACCTCTTTGACTTCTTTAGTTAGATTAATTCCTAAGTATTTCATTTTCCCCAGTGCTATTATAAAAGGTATTGTTTC